TTGCCAACAGAGATTGTAAATGAGAACTTTTGGTGGAAAAGTTGGGCCAAGAGTTTTGGCGAACGGCTAGTTATGTTTGGAAAGCATTCCGAGACCATACTCCTATGATATGTTTGACAATTCAATAAAACGATTAACTACTGAGCTTTCTTCTTAAAAAAAGGATAATTTACAAAGAAATTGAATGAATTGTCTTTAAGAAAATATCTATTTTTAAGGATATTCCAAGAAATTCTTCTTTCTTATCGATGTATGTTAGAAGACCTGGGATGGTATTATTTTCGCAAGAAACTCTTTTATATTCTTAATAAAATCAAAACCCCCAACAAGTGACAAGGAATGACAGGAAGTTTCTTCAGATTTATGAGGACTCCAGTGCTCCTGTCGAAAATATGTGTGCTTTGCATTTAAATGGCATTTTCTTGTGTATCGCCCCCCCGAGAGCAGTCTACGGAAGAGTCCCAGGATATATGCGTAATTTCCAGAGAATTCTTGGCTTTTGTTGTATTAAAAAACCACCTCATTGCCCCCCATACATTAAGTTTGTAAACGTGTCAGCTCCTTTGTCCGATTCCCCTTTTTTTCAGGATTGTCATTCAAGCGCTTTCTGAGTGGGGCGTCAACATTCCTGGTAATGAAATGCCCAACAATCTACTCGTGTCGGAATTTTGATTTTTCAGGTAACGTCAACACAGAAACAGGTGAGTGGATGGATGCCCGGTCCCCGGTGTGTGTGTATGTGTGTCGGTGGGCACCGGGAAAAGAGGAAGGCTTGGGCTAATCCCCGGCGACCGCCAAACCGCACATTAGCAAAACGGGGAATCCCGGCGAGCAGCAAGCAGCTATCCAGCAGCTAGTCGTATCAGAGAGCTAGAGAGAGCGAGAGCTCTGCAAACATTTGAGCCTGACAGCGGCCCAAAAAATCGTGCATTGATGATGATAACGTCCTGGCTGGCCCGGCTGACATCACCACGTCCGTCGACCAGGGCTCCTTGCATATTCACGCCGCATTAGCGATGGGCGGCCAGCGTGTCCGGGTCTGCAAGCCGGACACGGGACACAGAGCGGCGAATTTAGGTTTTGGTTTAGTTTGGTTAGGTTCGGTTTTGGTGGGGTTTTCGGTGAGGTTTGCTTAGGCTTGGGGCTCGGGCTAGGGTTGCGTTTGCGTTTGCAGCTTGTGGTGCCCTGTGTTGATGCTTTTGACACGATCTGCTGATTTCCACCAACCCCCATCACCACCAACGCTACGAAGGGGGGCTTGTAGGGTGGCGTGGTCTGGTGGCTTCTGCGAGCCTCTCAGATAAACGTATGCTAATCGGCTTGTTTGATGGCAGGGGACGGAGGTCCGGTGGTCGGAGCGAGGTGCAGGCAATCCTGCGAAATGCATCAAATGTCTGTGGCTGTCATACCTGCACACGACTAGACCCATGGTCCAAAGCTTTGCAGTGGAATTTAAAGTTTTTAAAGAACCAATATTAGCTTTGGTCGTTAGCTTTAATATAATAAAACATTTAATGTCTAATCCCGTTCAAAAACATGGCCTTGTTGACACTAAAATGTTATATAATGTCGGGGAAACCCACTCTGCCGAAAAACTGCAAAAATAATGTCCTTTATTAGCATAATGAAGTCATAAACATTGCAACAGTTAACCCGACAAGTCAACAAGTCAACAGGGAAGATAAAATCAACAGTCACCCACATTAACTTCAATTTTCTCCCTCGCACACACGCACACGCCGTCTCGCTCTCACTCCAAGTGGGCAAGGTCCTTGCTGGCATGGCTGATAAGCGATCGCAAAAAAAAGGGGAAGCCCCATTTACATGCAACGCTGCGAGTCGAGGCGCAGGCCAAAACGGAAACGGAAGTGCAGAGGCAGCTCTGAAATAATATCAAAAATGGCTGCCGGTGGCGTTGGCAACAAAAAGTTGCAGCTGGTCACAAATCATCTAAGGAGCTGCTGCTGCTGCTCGACTCTGTACGTGCTACACCCGATGCCAGTGTTGTAAAATGCTAACGAGCGTCGGCAACCTTTTGTTGTTGCCACCACCCACACCCAACCACCCACCGCCACCATTCGACCGGCTGGGAAAATCCACCCAGCCACCATCCGGCGCCCTGTTGTCATCGCTTTGAGTGACTTTCGCAAGACTGCGGAAGGTGGCCGGCAACTAATTTAGCTGCCATTGCAAAGTCAGCGGCATCTTCATTTCCCGGGATAAGCCGCACTTGGTGTTCCAGGAAAAGGATTCCCAGAAAGCGTATTCCCTAACTAATATTCTACAAAGGGATGACTTGGTCAAAAAAAAGTACAAACGAGTGTCCTTTGAATTATTTACCCAGAAATATAGTCATTTGGGATGTGGTCTACCACTTCCTGGCGAAATCCTTTTCCGGAACAGCCAGAGGTGGTTAAGGTCTCTGTTTCAGTGTTAGCAACACGCGCCGAGCTAGGCACCAGCAGCTGCTGGCACCTGTGCTTCTGGCTGGTGGCTGGAACTATAAAATTCCAATTTACTCCGCATGCAGTTACTATACTTTCTTGGCAACCAGACCCGCCCTATTCCGATTCCGATTCCGGACGCCCAGCCCAGCTCCTTCTCCGTGTCCCCTGGCAGTGCCCCGGGGCTGGTGTTTCTCGCCTTGGATCTGCAGCTCACTGGGTCTGTGTGTGTGTAAGCTTCCTGCACTCGCTGGCTTTCTTTTAGCTGGCGCAATTTTATGTATTTTTATGGTAGCTTGCAGCCAGTGACGTTGCCGCCGCTTGGCCCGGAAAGCGGAAACCGAAAATTGCTACTTATTATGTTACTAACTTTGTGTTGCAACCCATACCAGTCTCTGTGTGTGTGTGTGTGTGTCTTTGGCTGAGAGTGTGTGCGTGAGAGGTCTTCCAAGGCGGGGCAGGAGAAGGCTGTTGTTGGCTGGTGTGATAATGTCAGGTTTTGTTAAAATTAAATTGCATGTCTTGCTGCGTTGAAGTTAAATTATTGCCTCCCAGGGTCGAAGGTGTGGCATTCAACTTTACATCTCCGGACTGGAAAATAGTTGCCGAAAAAGTTTCTTACCTCAAGTAGGAGGCATTCATTCAACTTTAAACAGCCCATAGAAGAGAATAAAGCTTACTTTTTTCCGTACGAGTACTATAAAAAGAACACAGAACCACCATACCAACATCAAACAGGCATTTTTTTAGTCTCATGCCTATTTTTCGATTCGGCTTGGATTCCATTTTCCCCCATTTTCCCAGCGGGCGTCTGAAATATAACATTTTTTGCGTTTTACCGCAAACAGTATGCAACAGATTTTTTCTTAGCCACCGCATGGTGCCAGCACAAAAAACAGTTGGCAGTGGGTGTGTTGGGTGGTGTGGAGGTTTGGGCTATGACCCTGATGGTGGTCGCCAATTTTTGCAAGCGGCACCAGCGCCAAAATGTATGCAATGCTTCTTTCTTGCCGTTTTTAGTTGGCTGCGAAAACCACACGCTGTGATTTTTACCGGCATTACGAAATATTAACAGGATACAGCAAACATAAGAAAAACGATATTTCCCTTTTAAGACAGGTCAGGACGAAAGGGGGCGAGAGAGAGAGTGGAAAATGTGAGTAATGGCTGTTTGATGCCCCGGAGACTCGCTTTCTGGTAATAGAGTTGTATCGTGGCTTTAAAAACTTTTAGCCAAAACTACTTCTACTCTCAAGAGTCTTGAGGTTAAGGAGGACATTTTGTAAAACATTTTTAGCTGAAGAGTCTTTTGGCATCTGAGGATTAAAAGATTACAAACCTCGTAGACCGGAATACCTCTTGAGCCTTGACCTTGGCAATAACGAATAAAATCATGATGGGGAATTCATCTGAAACTATTTCCCGCAGGCTGTAATCCTTTGGCCAAGCCACTGTTGGCCAACATGAGAAACAACACGTTCGTTGGCAATAAATCTTGGCCGACAAGTGCCTTGCACGTATGGGAAAGAAGGAAACATTCCGAAGACAGGTCTGGGACTCGCCATCCAGAACAGCCGGCAGGCAAGTCACATTTTCGGTTAGTTCCTTTTTTTTAAGTGTATCTTAAAATTGACAGTGCATCGTTTGACCTTCAGTCAATGTGGAAATGTGGGGCAAATATGGACACTGTAATGGAAAATGGAAAATATATTCAATGAGCCATAACGTTTTCTGTTTTCAATTGGAAATTCCAACATGCTGCTCTACCGTTTCTGTAATTTATTGGCTTCCTAGCAGAGTGCCACATGTATCATCCCAGCTAGATAGATTTAAACAGAAGGACACATATATGTACATATATGGAGAGCCAGAGAGAGAAAAAAGAATTGAAGGACCTTAGCCAAACTGTCCCAATATTTGTTGCTTCGAGGAGGGCAAACATTAACGAATGTTCAACTACCTCCGTATCAATATCGAACCCGCTCGGTTCCCGCGCGTGTATCTCTAAATTGAGTACGTGTTGTTCTAGCTGTTGAACGTGTTTTGGTAAGTACTAAGGCCAACACGTGTCCTGGGGACCCTGGGGCGGATAAAGGAGCCGGGAGGGGATTGGCAACATATTTCTTTCAGTTATATGGATTTCCAAACGTGTCTGATTGCCCTCTAATGGCATTTTATTGCATTTATTAAAAGCAACTTAGGAGCTCAAGGACTAAAACCAAAATCCGCAAATTAGATCCTTGAATGGTGTTTGCTTTCGCAGAATAAACATATGTCTAGTCTTTAAGCTTCGAAGCGTGTAAAAGCAGCATATAAAATATTATAGTCAAGCTTTTCCAAATAAATTATAGATTCTTTCAGAAAGTAGGTTTCTTTGTAAGAAGGATCATTCTCCACAACACATTTTATTCAAAAAAAGGCCATCACTAACAAATTTAGTCACATTTAAAATACCACAATATTCCCCTTGAAATCAAACTTAGAAAAATTTAGTCACTTGCCGAAAGAAAGGACACCAAAATTTGGTCAAAAGAGAGCCAAAGGGCCTTTACCCAATAGCTCTTATCACTGACCGGCTCCGCTGAGAGTATTGGCCGAAGGATAATGGGATCGAAGGAGCATACACCGCTCGCGGTCGATGAAGAGGGTGCGCCGCTTCAGCATGATCTCCCGCTCGAGCTTGCTGCGGGAACTGACCAGGTCGATCTTGACCCGTTCCGCCTCCTCCATCTCGTGCAGCATGGCCGAGACACTGCTCTGGATGGTGTGCACGCCGTCAATGAGCGCCTGCTGAGCCAAGTCGCGGCAGTTCTCCACATTAGGCCGGTAGCTGCGGTTGTCCATCCGGGTTTGGGCCACTTTCATAGAGGCATCGAACGAATCGATGCGGCGCTGCATATTCACGATACGGTTCTCCACGTCCGCCAGCTCCTGCAGGACGTTGCGCAAGTCATTTTCGAAGCGCTGCACAGCCTCCTGCGTACAGTTGATCCTGGAGGTCAAGGCCTTCTCCACAATGTCCGCCTGGGTGCGGATGTCCCTGGCGGCATTCATCATAATTGAGTTGAGGGTGTTGCGCAAAGCCACCGACTTGGCTCGGCACTTCTCGCACTCGTCAAGGGTCTCCATACTGAAGTGCTCCCAGTACTTCTCGGAGGCCTGCTCCGGGGGCTGGCGTACTGCTCCCGGGCGGAACATGATCGTCCGAGAACTGTTGTTCAGACCGGTGTTGAGGGTGTCGATCTCGTAGGCCTCCTTTTTGTCACTCCAGTCGTATTCCAGACGCTGGCGTGCAGTCCGGTTTTCTACCTGCTGCGTCTGGAAGTCCTCGAGGGTCTTCATTAACAGCCGGCGGATTTCGGCAATCAAGGCCAACTCGTTAACCAGCTCCTCTTCCACATGGTCGCGCACCAGTTCGGTGTCTGGACGGGAGGCCCGCTTATCAATGCACTCCTTTACAATAGACTCAGGGACCCCGAGGACAACCATCGACTTGCGCAGCTTGATCCGCTCCACCTCCATAGTGGCGATCTCGTCGGCCATGGCCTTAATGGCATTCTCCAGAGTATTCTTCCATTTTCCAATCAACTGCGAACGCGTCCGCAACTTGTCGGTGGTCTCGTCCTGCGATTTGGTCACTAAGGCGGATAGGCGAAGGAATTCAGTGGCTGCGCTGAATCGGTTTCTAGAAAAAGCATATTTATAAATATTTTGAGCGTTTTATGAAGAGGGCTATAGCAGGAAATACTTACCTATCAGCCCTGCCCGTGGCTCCGTTGACCATCTGAACCGTCTCATGGTTCCTAGCGCGCCATTCATTTGGACTGTACCGAGTGATGGAGTAGCGATCCACTACAGGCCGGGTTCCTGTGATACCCGCCATGGGGCTCCAGTCCACCTTGCCCGACGCCCAGGGTCCAATGGGTCCCATGGGCATGAGCTGATCCTTGTGCGGCAGATCGTCGCCCTGTTGGGGCATGTAGCAAGGTGGGTTGTGCAGATTGTCCGCATTGGGATCCATAGAGCGCTGCAAAGGAATCAAAATAGAAAAGCTCCTGGCTTTGGAGACAGGATTACTTACAGAGAACTGTACCTCCTCCATCTGGCGGGGCTCCTGCGACTGTTTGTACTGCACGGCACGCATATCGGCCAGCTGTTGTTGTTGGTGATCCACGCCAGCCTGAAGGTCGGCCTGCAGTTTTTGGTGGTCTTGGGCGGGACCAGTTATATTCTGAACTATGTGCGCCTGGGCGGCCTCATCGGGGTGTGGAATGAGAGCCACAAGCGCCGGCTGAGGTGGCTTCTTCAACCGGTGCGAGCGAGGCTCCTCGGGCAGGGGACAGATTATCGGAGCCGGACATTCCCCTGATCCCGGATTGAGATTTATAGTGGTCGTGCAGGGCGGCAGGAACTCATCCTTCTTTTCAAGACAATTCATTGTTAGAGTACGGTTGCTAACCACCTGGTAAGGTAAAAACAACTGTGTATATACGGAAACTAGTTACGAATTGGTTGAGGAACAAACTGAAACTGAAAATAAATATTTGAAACGATTGTTTGAAGTTAATAAACAGGAAAGTGGGTTGCTGGGATGCCATTGTGGAGGCAACGGTTACTATATAGTAAGGAACTTAACTCATTAAAGGGTTTTGCTGTTAGACTTTCAAATTTTAAGAATAATAACTTTAGGATGATATGCATTATTCTCACTTTATTGATCTTCAAACAAGCCAAAAAACTTAATTTATTATCAAAAGAAGTACATAGTTATTCATATTTCCAATTAATGACTTAAAATTTACAAGATCAGTAGTTCATTGATAATAGCCATGGTCTAATTGCCTTTGGCCATATTTTGAAAGAACATGATAGAGAACTCAAGGACATTGGAGGGCTTGTACCGAAGCACATTAAGAACATAGTCCTGCATGAAGTCGGCCAGCTGGGTATTGCCGTCCAAGTACTTGGTGGCATTTTCGTAATTGAGAGCCTTCTGTTCCTGGAACTTGCGGTTCAGCTGGACATTCTGGCGCCACATAAGCTCCAGCTTGGGAAGGATCGTCTCCTTGCGCTTCGGTGGCATGCAGGCGGCATGGAGCAGGTAGTTGTAGCCGCGCCAATAGTGGATCACGATTCGACCCTCTGGCGTCATGAAGGTCTCCGCCACATCCTGCAACTCGTCGTTGAAGCACTGCTGGGTGAGGATGTGCACCACGTTCTTGTAGGTGCGATAGAAGATGCGCACCACCTTGCGCTCTTTGTGTACCACCAGATTGCAGCGCAAGACGCGGCCGTACAAGTTCATTGTGTAATACTCAAAGTTTCCGACAAAGTTGTTGCACACCAGGTGACGCATTAGGAGCATAATGCCTCCGTCCAGGACGAAAACGTGATCACGGTCCTTGATGTCAATGCGCGCCTTGAAGCGCTGAACCTCCTCGTTGATCCGCGTCTCCCGGATGGCTGTGAGCAGGAGATCGGCGTGGTTTCGCACCTCCAGTATCTTCTCCACCCGCGTGTTGTCAATCCGATCGAACTCTGAGCGCTTTTCACAAATTAGCAGGAACTTATCATCGTACTTGCCCTTCAGCTGGTGGCCACACTCCACAACGCCACGTCCCTTCTTCATTTTGCTGCTGCAGAACACCACGTAGCCATCGAAGGCCTCCTCCACGTTCAGGCAAAAGCGTCCGATCTGCTCCAGTTCCCGTTCAAAGAAGATCTTCAGGTCCTCGTTAAGCTTGCAGTTGGTGTTCCGTAGCCGGGACACGAACAGTTGTTCCTTGAAGATAATGGCCTGCTTGACGGGCAGAAACTGCTTGGGATCTATGCCCCAGTCACACTGCTTATATTGATCATCCGAAGGCTCGATGGGTCGCAGCAGGGCTGAGATTATACTGGACACACTGATCTCGTCTTGGGCATCCAATTTTTCCAGCTCTTCACAGGCATCGACAGCTGCACGTTTCTTGTCTGGGTCCCGGAACTGGTCCATGTCACATGTCACAAAAAGAGGCGGATCCAGCCCCGATCCCCGTTTGGTTTCTCCATCCGCTGAGGATATAAATTATATAAAATAGATAAAATAGATAGATGGGGTTGTCGTACCCATTGTTCTGAGCTACTAAGTAATTTTCTAGATCTATTGTATGTGCCTGAGAGGTTGTGTATCCATTCAAGCCAGAATTGAAAACCAATGATGTTTTTTTCAAATGCTTCCAACAAACTAGAGTTTTGTGATTTGTTTAAGATTTATTCGTTAAATTTTCTGACGCAAAATGTTGGCCATTAATGTTAAATAATGTTGTCGAAGCTCCTAGCATGATCTTTGCCTCAAGCACTTTCGACATTTAAGTCTCCTTCCTTTGTTGTGCTGGTGCTGGCCAAGAACTTGACTTGGCAATTAGCAGAAGCGACTAAGTAACGCTCCGTAAGAACTTTCTAAAGTGAGCCTGTCAGCGTGTCCAGTAATTTGGAAGTGGGCCCAAGGCGCAGCATTCCCATCAAAATGTGTGCTGCAACAAGCGGAACAAATAGAAACAAGCGCAGGATTCTCCCCGAACTAATTGCAAGGCCAAGAGCTCTTCAGACGGCTTAAAGTGCTACAAACAACATGTAACTTGGGGGTGTTGAGGGCTGTCACGAGTAAATATGAGCGTGTGCGAGCTTTAATAGCAGCAACTGTAAACGAATGGACAGCAAATAAAGAGGTCGCCGGACGAAAGCGAAGAAAGGACCTTTGTAATCCTGGCTGGCGGAGACCTGCTCATTGTTAGTGGAGCGCAAACAGTCGTCCTTCCCTCATTAAAAGGCAAAAGGCGCGTGGGTATGTGAGGCGGCGAGACTGTGAGGCGGTGAGGCTGTAGAAGGTGGGACTCAGATAAAGGAAGCACAAAGGGTAAACAATAAATAAAATGGCCTTCGAGGGCACGCAATATTAAATTTGTTATTAAGCTTGTAATTATTTGCTGATCCGGAAATGTAGGCATCTGTCGGCCGCCTCTTCATCTTGTTCTCCATCTTAACTGCGCGAACGGCGCGTCGTCGTCCAATGAAAATGGAAATATAAATAAATTATGCAAAAGACAAAGACAATGCGTTTTTTCTTTCGCTGCCCTCCATTCAGGCTGGAGATCTTGCGTTGTCCGTTTATTTCACAGTCAAGTGAGCTTTGAAAGCGAGGTTGCCAGGCAGGACAAAGGACATCCGAGTCCTCGAGGCAAGAATAGTGTCTTGGGCTTTTACAGTGCACTGAGAAATCTTTTAAACGATTTTTGTTAAAAATGTATCAGCCTACAATGCCGTGTCTCTAAATGGCTCAATGTTTGAGTCAGGCTCTTAGATCTAATCACTCATACGCCCAGTCGTACTTAAAAGATTTTCAAATATTTTTAAATATACTTCATTTCTGTACTCTTTATTAAAATCACATGCTAGTGACCACTTTTTTATTGAAAATTATTTGAAAATGTATTATCCATACAATGGCAACGCTGCGTATGAGTAATGAACTAAAAGGTAAGGAGGTAAGGTTAAATCTTGCCTTTATCCCACCATATCTTTCAAGCAAGCCTGTTGATGAATGAAACTATATTTTTTTGTAGTGCATTTATTTACGTTGGAGCCCTCATTAATTTGTTATGCATTTTTCTGTGCACGCGTAAATTAACTACAATTGTTTCTGTGTGCCGTCCACTTACATTTAATCTTCATCTCCAGCTCCATACACTTTTCATTCGTTTCGTTATTCATTGCGCATTCATTTCAGGCCTCGTTCATTTCCTCTGCATTTGTTTTGCATTTCTCGTCATTGTTCTCGTCGCCTTAACCCCCGAAGCTCCCATTGAGTGCTAAAATAAATCAAAATGTAAAGGCGTGTGAGGGGCCAGAAGCGGCTAAAAAGCGAAAACAAATCTTAAATGAAAATTGTAACCGCTGCGGCTGTGCAAAAAGCCATTGGGAAACCGTTGCGAGCGGAAATGGTAGTGGAAAACTCTGGGGGTAAAGTGTTGGTAATCTCCAGGCCCACATGTATTGGGCTTGTGGGTTTTCGGATTGCGGATTGGGCGACTGTGGGGTGGTGGGGAGGTGGGGTGGCTGGCTTAAGGGTCAGTAATAAATGTCATGATATGAAATTTATTTACGCGCTACGAAAAACCAAAGCAAAGGAATGCAATAACAACGGAGGCAAGGACCCACGAAGGAACAAAATCGGAAAAACAATGCCGCAAATACACGCGCACACACTCAGATACGAGACAAGCCTTAGCCAAATCGCAAAAGACAATTAAAATGGAATGCCAAGGAAGAATGCCGAAGGACTAGAATGTATGCTAGATAGCGCCCATTCAAGCTCGAAGAGGAACTACTATTTAAAAAAAGGAAATACATTTGTTTAGAGTACAAGATAAATTACAGTGCAAACATTATATGGTGATAGATTATTATAGCGATAAGCAACAATCAAGCCCCTTTCATGTATCGCTTGGCAACCAAGCAACTGAGATTGCCTAGACTATGTATGTCCTTTCACATTGCAACCCATTCACGCACAGGACACATGCTACAAGAGGTAAACAACGGGCCGCACAGACTCAAGCTTGAAAACAAAGTAAATAATACAAATTCTCGCAATTTTTCTGTAATTAACACATCCCCCCAGCAAAGCAGCGTCAAAAGACAGAAAAGGACACTGCCGCACATACTATATATGTATGTAGTATCATATAAACTCTGAATGGGCGTTGAGTGAGAGCCCGACAGGATGGCGTGTTGGCAGGAAGAGCTCTGGTACTCTGGTAGTGCCTTGGGGCACGTAACCTGACCCAGGTAGAGGGTTGTATGGGCTCAGGACTTTCTCCAACATAAAGCATACAAGTGTTGCCGTCTCACATCGCATTTTTATGAGCTGCTCATGCGAAAGGACATGCAACCCATCTTGTTAAGATCTTGTTCTCCTCATGTCAAGTTTAAGTGGCATATCTCGACACATCTCCTGGCCAAATTGTTTGCGTGAAGCACTCCTTATGTTGCAGAGACATAAATATAACACTAAATAAACATGTTTGTAAACAATATGGTAATTACAAATAGTCGAAGGCAATATCTGAAATAAAAACCACAAACACCTTCGAATTGGCAGGCCAACAGATTACGAAAAACTTTTCTTTTATATAAAATGCAAATTATTTTCCAATTTGATTAGAGGTACTCCTCCTGCCCACAAAGCATTATCAGGTACAACTTCTCAGATTTTTTGTTTTTCCCTTATACCATTTTGCATTGACAGGCAAACACAAAACTCAAAACTCAGAGAAACTGCAGCCAAACAAAAAACTTGAAGCAAGGTGTTGTGCTGTTGTTTTTTCTGTTGCGGTAACAGGTGCGCCAGAAAGCTGAAAAACAAGCGAAAAGTGCCAAGAACACAGTCTGTGGAAAAAGTTTATTGTTGTCTGGCTTTGTATATTTTACAATAATTTCAGTTTTTTATTTTTCATTTTAAAGTTCCTGAATATACTCTCCTGTACAGGCACCCATTTGCATTGCATAATAATTCGTAAATATGCTAAAATGTATGTTTATTGATTTTAAAATGCATGGTTGAAAAAATCCTGATATACATCCGAAAAGATTATATTTTTTTATCTACAGAATTGGCTTCATATATATTTTTTTGATAAAAATTAGTAAACTGTTGAGCTTTCGTTAAGGAGATTTTGAGAAGAAATTGAGGCATGTCAGCCCAAAAAGTCTTATCGATTGGTAAAGTTGCTTAATTAGCTGATTACAGGCTCTAAAAGTTTGGCAAGAGTTTCAGGCCAAATAAAAGGTAATTAGCGAAAATATAAACAAGGTATCGGATGCAAAATGGAAAGAATATTTAAAAAAAAAACATTTTTTCATAAAAGAAGACTAGTCTGCTTGGTTTATAAATCCCAGAATATCCCAAAGTTGTTTATGCCAAATTAGGAAAAATATTCTTATTTATCCATGAATATGCCCTTGGCTAGCTTAAAAAAAAACTTGGCCAAAGCCGGCTCCAATTAATCTTATAAATATGTGCCCACTTCATTCAGTGCCTTTGCCACAAAAGTTGTTTTAAAACTGTTTGCAAAGGTGTAAAATAAAAGAGAAAAAAGTATTTCGGCATATAAAAAAGCCATAAAAACTGCCGAGTGACATGTGAAAGGACATGGGAGCGAGCGGTGTAGATGCATGGCAGGATGCTGGGAGTAAACCACTCAAAGGCGTAAATAAATACACCGCCCGCATTGGTAGGCAACGCTATTTTGTTTACCCTGGCTGTATATATGTTTGTGTAGGCTCACGTACGTCCCTGAATGTGTGTGTTAATTTGCCAACAAAGACACGGACAAACATGCAAACAGCATTTAAGAGATTTGCCAAAAGAGAAGGCTGCCACCTGAAAAGACGTCCCTGCCCATCCGACGCCTCGGTTGCCGTATTCACGTTCGAGTGTTTACCTTGTCGTTTCTATTAATTTGAGCGCGCTACATAATAGCTTTGTCAATATTTTGCAAACATTTTCTAAAAAGGTGCAACTTCCATATATGCCACATAAAAATTCTTTTCAACATGTTATGAAAGGTTTTTAGAGGCACATCGGCTTGTAATTAGTCACGATCATTTTTAAAACTAAATTAAAAAAGAAACCAATTAAAATAAATTATACACTGACTAGAGATTCGGATTATAATTTTTTTGTGACAATAGCCAATCAATCTATGTTACTGTATGAGCTGCAGTTCGATTAGAGATAGTTTTTCCGGCGGAATCTTAGAGAACTCAGCAGGCAATGTACAATAACTACGCCTAAATTTCCTCCTGAACAAAGACCATCCTTGGGGCACCCTCAGTCAAGCCATATCAATCAACGTTGTGAAAAGGACTCCATTGTGCGTTAACAAGTGGCACGTTGTTGGATTGATACACAGGCTGGAAAAGCAAGCAGAGGAAAAGAAAATCGGGAGAGGGAAAGCTAAAGCCGAAACCAATCCAACCATGATGTATCTATAACTGGGACCAGGCATGGCCCAGCGTTTTTCCCAGCACTCCATCGAGGAACTGTAGCTAGAGCCCCTGCTACTTTGGGAAGCTGGGAACGAGTTTCTGCATCTGCAGCTAAAACCGAAGTCGAACCCTGTTGGCTGGCTGTTGTCATTTGGCGGAGTATGTCACCGACAAC